GCTGCTCTAATCAGGAACATCGTCCTCAAGGCCTGGTGGGCCAGGATGTGCTCCACTCTCTCCTCCTCCCCCTTCATCTGCTCCCGTGTGCTCTGATCAGATATGTCCTTCACCTGGAGCTGCATATTCAGTGCTGTCCTTTGAAATAAATTCTTCTGGGGGAGGGACAGGTGGCCACGTAGTAGTTGGGATTGGGGCCGGCCCCTCTGACCTCTCTGAGGACTTTTTGTTTTATAAGCCTCCATGTCATGTGTAACTGCAGGGACAGCAAAAAAGGCTTGATAAGGCTGTGAAGTGAGTTGGTACCAGTAAATCCCTGAGTGCTTGGCACATGTGTCCTCACCATGATGGCTATAATTAGCATCTAGTGTTTGGAGGTTACCTGATTTCTTCTGCCTTCCTCCAAGTCAGGATTTCTCAACCTTGGCACTATTCTTAATAGGGGAGGACCGTTCTTTGTCGTAGTGGGCTGCCCGGGGCAATATAGAATGCTTAGCAGCACACTGGACTCCCACCAACTAGATGGCAGTAGCACTCCCCTCTTAGGTATGAGGACCAAATATATCTCCAGGCATTGCCAGTGTCCCCAGTGGAGGGTGGGAGAGGGTAATGATGGCAGGTGGAGACCTGCTGCTTTAACTATGAAAAAGTGAAATCGCTCATCAGGGTCTTATGTGTAATTATTAAGACCACTTTATACCAGTGTAAACTTTTCCCTAGTTTGGACACCCAATGATCATAAAAGACGTGTTTTGAGAGATGAATCTGAAAATCGGAGGGTCTACCCACGTGGGCTGGTAGTTTGAAATGACCAGCAGCTCCTTGGAAGGAAGACTACGCCCTCGAAGAGTGAGAGTCTCAAAATCCGCAGACACAGTAACGGATGAATGGATGCTTGGGGCCATGGCAGGGGAGGTTGGCGGCAAATGGGGAGCTGATGATAATGAAAGAAGAAAATGTTCTAAAATTGATCGTGGTGATGATTGTACAACTCTTCTTAATCGGATTGAACTGTTGACGTTTATGATGTGTGAATTATATGCCAAGACAATATAAAAATAAAAAGAGTTCGAGTCTCGGAAGTCCACGGTGGCCGTTCTATCCTGTCCTGTAGCGCCACCATGGATCGGAATCGCTGCAGTGGCAGTCCGAGGCAGAGAGTCACACCTGCTCTCTGCTGGAAGAGTGCCGGCTTGGCCTTTGAGGGCCGGTCAGGGACCTTCTCCACATCCTGAAGAAGGAATTAGCCAAACTGCTCCTGCGTAATGGAAATGTGGCATTTCAGTGACTGTCTCGGCTGTCAAAATATCTTTTTGGGATTTAACATCATTGCCAAAGACAGAGCTATCTGGACAGAGATGAAGCTGTTTAAAAAAAAAAATCCGTCTCTTTAAGGGCTCATCTTTAATGGCTGTGTAATATCTGACTGAACTTTGATTCTTCATGATAAAATGTCTCTTAAGTGATATCGAAAATCCTTCCCAAACAAAAGTTGAAACCCCTGGTGAATATTAATTAGATTAGGTAGAATTTCCAGCAGCTGATACAGATCACAAGACACATTATGGGGACTGTGTTTCAGCTGGAGTGCTTTCTCCGCGTCTAGGACTATGTGCTGCCACCTGGTGACAGGAAAGGATCAAGACCAAAGTATTTTTTCAGGAGCTGTGGCTCAGGAGCCCTGGTCAGGTGTCCTGGTTACATGTTAGGCTGCGATCGCACAAGGTCCGCTTTTGGAAACCATCAGCCGCTCCAGGGGAGGAAGACGGAGCTTTCTACTCCTGTAAAGATTTACAGGCTCGGAAACCCACAGGGACGCTTCTCGCCTGTCCTGGAGGGCCACCGTGAGTGAGGATTGACTGGCGGTGAGTCTGTGTTTGGGTTCGATGAAGCCTGTTTTTGTGGATGTGGTTCGTGAGGGTCGCCTTTGAGCTTCTCCCAGTCCGTCGTGTGGCCCCGGGCACACGGCATGAAACGCGGCCCAGAGGAATTTCACTGTCTGATTTTCAGAAGGAGCTCGCCGGGCCTTTCTTCGTAATTCTTCATGCTCTGGAAGCTCCACTGGAATGTGTGCAGTGTCGTGCTCAGAGCGTCCCCGGACAGATCGCTGGTGGCTGCGCATGGAGGGCGTGGGCCAGCCACTGAACCCCGGTGGCCTG